GGTAAGTCCTTTATCACAAGAAATGACGTCTTTATAGAATGGATCATCCGATCTCGCCAGGAAGTAATCACGGAGGACTGCACACTTCGCGATTATGCATGGTGAGCGCGCTCAAGAAGCCACGACCACCATGCTTCCGCGGCAAGTACAGCCTCATTACCGACGATCTCGGATGATGCATCCTAGGGGACGTCATAGTAGTGCAGACTTTTCTATCCAGGGCGTTAAGTTCAGTCTGAGTCCACCTGAGTATGCCAAAGGTATACATGAGGACAGGCATGACCCAGCCGTTATATGCGTGTGCCTTATTCACACCGGACAAAAGGCTGTTAAAAGCACTTTGGTCAAGCGTGCATAAAACACGTCGCAAACTGACTGTTTCATACCAGCCTCATCGATACCGATGTTTTGTGACATACCCAGGTATCGGTATGTTTCAGCCTCGGAAAGGGTCCTTAAGTTGACGGGCATAGATAAGTCTACGCCCTCAGAGTTAGCAACCCTTCCCCTTTCAACATGGAGGATCGCACACTTATCCGTCCCAAGCTCCATTCCAATGGAATTGCTAAATTCACAAGTGATGTTTAGCAATTCCATAAGATGGGAGCGACTGGAGGCGAATAACTTGAGGTCATCCATATATAAAAGGTGGATCACTTTTTTCCCTCCTTTCCGTAGCTGAAATCCCCTCCCGGAGCCCTCCAGTAAGGTACTGAGAGGGTTCAGAGAGAGGCAGAACCAGATTGGACTCAGACAATCGCCCTGGAAGATACCCCTTCTTATCCTTATATGGTTCTCCGCAGCCATCATCCGCTCGCCCAGATGACAAAGGATCGTACTCCACTGCCCCATACACTGCTCGAGGAAGTCTCCAACTGTACAGTCAATTTTGTACAGCTGGAGGACTTTCTTTAGCCATGTATGGGGCACCGAGTCGAATGCCTTTCTGTAGTCTATCCAGGCGGCGGAGAAATTTCGACGGTTGCTTTTCACCACTTTGCCAATGACCGCGTCAATGAGGAGTGGTTCCTTGGTTCCACGACCACCGCCCCGACATCCATTTTGAGCGCGCGACATCACCTGATTTGAGTCCAGGTGACAAGTGATTCTCGCGCTCAAAATGGATGTTAGTGTCTTGTATATGGTCGGTAGACACCTGATGGGGCGGTATTTGCTCGGGTCTGTGGTACCATAGTCTTTAGGAACCAAATGAGTTATCCCAGTAGTGAAGAGGCTTGGGAGCGACTTCTGGTTGAGAGCCTCTTGAAACTGTCGGGCGAGCACAGAGTGACACACCATGAACCTCTTCAGCCAGTAGTGATGCAGCCCGACAAGCCCCGGACTTTTCCAGTTCGGGGCCCTACGGACCGCCTCAGCTACGTCATCCGACGTTATGATGACGGGGTCCATGGGCGTAATACCCGCACATTGACTCGCCACAACTTCCGTCCAAGGGCCCTCGCTGTGATTTACGGGCTCTGACCACAGGCCGCGCCAGAATGCTACAGTGTGGGCCTGATTCGGTGCTGGACCCGTTCCACTTACCATTGGTCGCTCCAATGATTCATAGAGCCTCTTCTGATCACTTTGGAAGAGACGATTCTGGTTGAACCGTGTCGACCTCTCGGTATATCGCCGAATCCGCTTTCCCCAAGCAGCGATTCTCTGCTTCAGATCATCTATGCGCTCCGTCAGTTATACGTTCCTCAATTCTTCTCCTCCATGAAGGGATAGCGCTACTATCCCAGCATGGAGAAGAATATTATTATTGTGGGGTATCTATATAGTTTTCTCATCTGGTTGGGTTCTATAAATATATAATTATAAATGAAAATGAAAAGATAAATATACATATATATCAATAACATAAAATAAATATAAAAATACATAAATAAATAAAAGCCCAACCAGATGGAGGCCCTCGGCAGGGGAGACCAAAGGGCTGAGGGTTAGGGGGAAAGGGAAAGAAACCAGCGGACGATGCGGGCGGTATCGAGGAGCACCGCCTTCTGGATTTGAACCTGGAGCGGTCCGCCACGTAGTCCCAGCCGCCTCAGACGACCCGAGAGGCTGACTGGGATTAGCCCGTTTGCAGAGAAGACTACAGGAATAATTTCGGTCGGCAGACCACCCCACATGTCAGTCACCTCGTGAGCCAGGTCCAGATATTTTGTTTGCTTGTCTGTTTCGGCTTTCACGAGGTTCTCGTCATACGGAATGGTAATGTCGACCAAAAATATCCTTGACTGTGCCCGGTCCATCAGCACAATATCAGGCTTATTCGCAAGAATAGTCCTGTCTGTGATGATGGCCCGCTCCCAATAGAGCCTGGCGCGATCATTATCGAGTACGGCTTCCGGCAAATACTTGTAATACGGCAATTTCCGATCCACGAGACCGTATTTCAGAGCGAGCTCCTGGTGAAGAATTCTGGCTACTAGGTTGTGCCTGTGCAAGTACTCAGAGTTAGAAAGCGCCAAACAACCGGAGATGGCATGCCTAAGTGACTCACCGGGATGGCGACAAGCTCGACAGACGTCCACGGTGCCATCTTTTAGGATGTATCTCCGATAGTTGTTGGTCTTAATAACCTGATCCTGTATTGCACAGACAAAACCCTCGGTTTCCCCGAAGAGATCACTAAAGCGTAGCCAGTGGAGGGAGGCTATTGTGTCTACGAAAGGCTCATGTAGAGCCTTGTAGAACCTCCCGTGGAGCTCCTTCTCCTTCCATACGTTCTCCCGGTCGGAAATTGTCTGAACTGCAGGGTCTTGCCATTGCTCGTTGGCTAAGGATAGAGGGGTAAGTCCTTTATCACTAGAAATGACGTCCTTATAGAATGGATCATCCGATCTCGCCAGGAAGTAATTACGGAGGCTGCACACTTCGCGATTATGCATGGTGAGCGCACTCAAGAAGCCACGCCCACCATGCTTTCGCGGCAAGTACAGCCTCATTACCGACGATCTCGGATGATGCATCCTGTGGGATGTCATGGTAGTGCGGACTTTTCTATCCAAAGCGTTAAGTTCAGTCTGAGTCCACCTGAGTATGCCAAAGGTATACATGAGGACAGGCATGACCCAGCCGTTATATGCGTGTGTCTTATTCACACCGGACAAAAGGCTGTTAAGCACTTTGGTCAAGCGTGCATAAAACACGTCGCAAACTGACTGTTTCATACCAGCCTCATCGATACCGATGTTCTGTGACATACCCAGGTATCGGTATGTTTCAGCCTCGGAAAGGGTCCTTAAGTTGACGGGCATAGATAAGTCTATGCCCTCAGAGTTAGCAACCCTCCCCCTTTCAACATGGAGGACCGCACACTTATCCGTTCCCAGCTCCATTCCAATAGAATTGCTAAATTCACAAGTGATGTTTAGCAATTCCATAAGATGGGAGCGACTGGAGGCGAATAACTTGAGGTCATCCATATAGAAAAGGTGGGTCACTTTTGTCCCTCCTTTCCGTAGCTGAAATCCCCTCCCGGAGCCCTCCAGTAAGGTACTGAGAGGGTTCAGAGAGAGGCAGAACCAGATTGGACTCAGACAATCGCCCTGGAAGATACCCCTTCTTATCCTTATATGGTTCTCCGCAGCCATCATCCGCTCGCCCAGATAGCAAAGGATCGTACTCCATTGCCCCATACACTGCTCGAGGAAGTCTCCAACTGTACAGCCAATTTTGTACAGCTGGAGGACTTTCTTTAGCCATGTATGGGGCACCGAGTCGAATGCCTTTCTGTAGTCTATCCAGGCGGCGGAGAAATTTCGACGGTTGCTTTTCACCACTTTGCCAATGACCGCGTCAATGAGGAGTGGTTCCTTGGTTCCACGACCACCGCCCCGGCATCCATTTTGAGCGCGCGACATCACCTGATTTAGCTCCAGGTGACGAGTGATTCTCGCGCTCAAAATGGATGTCAGTGTCTTATATATGGTGGGTAGACACGTGATGGGGCGGTATTTGCTCGGGTCTGTGATATCCTGATCTTTAGGAACCAAATGAGTGATCCCAGTAGTAAAGAGGCTCGGGAGCGACTTCTGATCGAGAGCCTCTTGAAACTGTCGGGCGAGCACAGCGTGACACACTACGAACCCCTTCAGCCAGTAATGATGCAGCCCGTCGAGCCCCGGACTTTTCCAGTTCGGGGCCCTACGGACCGTCTCAGCCACGTCTTCAGGCGTTATGGTGACGGGGTCCATAGGCGTAACACTTGCACTCTGGCTCGCCACAACTTCCATCCAAGGGCCCTCGCTGTGGTTTACGGGCTCTTACCACAGGCCACGCCAAAATGCGACAGTGTCAGCCTGATCCGGTCCTGGGCCCGCTCCACATACCTCTGGTCGCTCCAATGATTTATAGAGCCTCTTCTGATCACTCTGGAAGAGACGATTCTGGTTGAACCGCCTTGACCTCTCGCTAAATCGTCGAATCCGCTTCCCCCAAGCAGCGATTTTTTGCTTCAGGTCATCTATGCGCTCCGTTAATTTTTGCGTGATATCCGGCTGGAACAAACTGATATTTGTCCCAGCAAACGCCATCCTAACGGTGCGCATAATCCTCGGTCTATTATTACCCGACCTTAAGCTTGTCAGTCTGCCGATAAGGGCCCTTGCCTTTGCGATACGGTCCTCAATTCTTTTTCTCCAGGCTGGGATGGCGCTACTTTTTTGAGTAGCACGTCCAGCCACGGGAAGTTTGGCGCCAATAATACGGCATACTGCCAGTGCGGCGCCAAAAAGAATTGAATCCGTCTCTCAAAGGTCCCGGCTGGCTTCCAAATAGGTCACCAGCATTGGGTTAAGAGCCCGCACGACAGCCCGATTTCGCTTGCTAAGGGGTATGCGGGGAAGTCACGGTCGATTTTCGAGAGGCATGCTGCGCGTTTCCAGCATCGACTCTTCCAATTTGCTCCTCATTTTCTCTAGTTCGTGGGAGACTATTCCATCATCGTCTGAATTAGCCACAAATGGAATGTTGACGGCAGCATCCACTTATGCAGTTTGTTGCGCATCTAGTGGCGCCGCATTCCTAGCCGTAGCATTTCCATTCGATGAAGGAATAGCCTCACGTCGTAGTCGCTCGAGTTCGGCGTCACCAAATATGTTGGAGCGCAGGATGTACCTAACTCGGTCTGCCAGGTTTTGCTCAGTGACGGATAGAGATGGCTCCAGCTCTGCAAAAAAGCGATGCATCCGAGCCCGATACGCCAAACATCCAGTTTCTTCCCCTTTTGCCCTAAAATACGCCCGCAGTGCGTTTTCATTCATTGATTTAGACCAACGCATGCGACGTGCTCCACCAGCGGCGGGTGCCGCTTGCTGAGTTCGAGAAGACCCAGCCGACACCAAGCCTTCTCGTGGGGATGATGGATGCGGGGGGCTGCTAGGTGGTCTTGCAACACCCCGCACTCGTCTGGCGGCCCGCATGAAGTCGCGACCAGCGCCAGCTCCAGACGCGCCCTGGCGACCTCCAGGCAGCGGCCCTTTGCGCACTATCTTTTTCTCCATCATCCATAATATGAGCGTCCATTAACGGGAGACGCCCAGGCCCGGCACCGTATCGTGGACGGCCATAAGCACAAACGGGCCTTTGCACCCTGAATTCTGCCGAGGCACGGCGCTCACACCTCTCGCAAGGCGCTGACTGACTGCGTTGACGTAGCAGTTTTGTCACTTAACTGTTACGTCAGCGGGCGATGGGGTCGTCAATTCCCTACGCCATTATTATTATTATTATCATTATTATTTATGCTTATGGATGTATTTTTATTGTTTAATATATTTCTTCTGAGGTCCATTTTGATGAATTAAAGAAACTAATTGTTATTTAATAATAATAATAATGGGCCGTCACAGTTTCAATAGAGAAGCGCAGATGTGTACGCGATTCATTAGGTTTCTTTCATCAAGCTCGTGTGGTACCCAAGTATCGAACTTTTTTGTAAAGCCAGACTTTTTCAAATTAATCAAAATTGCTTCATGCAAACTTACAGATTTGTACTATGAGAACGTAGTCCATTCCCGGTTCAGTCGGCCTATTCGTTTTGAACTCAATTTAAAGTTTTAGCGTGATTACAAACTACAACAGCCATTATGATATCTCTCAAGTTAGAGATTTGAGTCGAGTGAGTTGCCCTTTCTATGATATTTAGGTCATCACTATAACTCAAAATGTATTTATTAATAACAAAAAGAAAACAAAGTTTAACCCCAATAAAGTAATAAATATAGCTGGAAAGAAATCAGGGCCATTGCGTTATCACTCAAGGGTCACGTTTCATCTGAACCCTTTTTGGCGGCTGGGTAAGGCACGTGTAAAATATCACGCAAATTAAATTCTTGTTACGTTCAGTTTAGAATACTATCATACTATTATTTTAAAATAATTGTCATTATTAGTAAATACTAGTTTACATTAACAGCCAGTTAAAATTAAGGATGTGTAGGACTATAACAACGCAGAAATCAGTAAACCTACTATTCGACTGAATTAAAAATGTGCACACAAAACCTAATTGAAGTAAATTAATTGCTTACATTAAATTGTATACAAAAAGTCAACATGCAGACCTATTACAGACATTTATTTCTGTATGATATACTCATTTCTAAGGGGGAATTAGAACTAGACCGTACCATACGGTATATAGTAGCTAAATGCTGCTGTGTTACGTATTACGAGTGTCAAGAACACACTTTTTAATAGAAAAGGAACATTACATCTTAGTACTTAGAGGTGACAATGTATTTGCGTTTTACTTCTTAATCGAGGATAAATATAGATGTCTTTGTGCCACAATATCCACTTACCAAAAGGTAGACCGCGTGCTCATTTGTTGCCCTTATTCTATCTATATTTATCTATAGGAACGATATATACATAGGAACCAGCTACATTGCTTACGTGATGTCCATTAATGACTTAGCGGGCTTCTCAGCCTAGAATGTACAGTAAAAGAAGTTGTTAACTTGATGTAAGTATTTTGAATTCAGACTGCATTCTAGTGATTTGGTCTACCATAAATTTGGGACCAACTTATTAAATTAAGTAAAGTGGAATTAAATATTCTTATAAAATAAATTTTTGTGACTCTGAACATCAAATTGTAAATAAGGATTCTCAGAATTGTAAACAATTCAACAAATGTTACTGTATAAATAAGAGTTTAATCATGTTACGAGTGGATTCAAAAGTACTCGGCCTAACCAAGAAAATAAACACATACTAAATCAGTTATATTTTTATTTTTCTACATAATCACCATCAAGTTCAATACACTTTTGCCACCTCCCCTTCCAAGCATTTACCGTTGAAAAAAAAATGATTCTTCCTTAGAGTCAAAATATGCGTCTACAGCTGCTTTGACCTCGTCGTTTGTCGAAAATCTTTGACCTCCCAAGTGCTTTTTTAGGTTAGGGAACAGAAAGAAGTCTGATGGTTCCAGATCAGGTGAATACGGCGGATGCGGTAACAGTTCAAAGTCACAGTTGTGAATTTCAGCAATTGACTGTACTGACGTGTGAACACGGGCGTTATCTTGATGAAACAGGACTTTTCTTCTGAGTATTCCTCGACGTTTTCCTTTTATTTCCTCTCGTAAACGACGTAGTAAAATGCAGTAGTAATCAGAGTTTATAGTCTGACCCCTTTCAAGATAACCAATCATAATCACACCTTTCGAGTCCCAGAATACTGAAGCCATCACCTTATTTGCCGACAAAATCGACTTAGCCTTTTTAGGGGTGGTGAACCAGGTCTTCTCCACTGTTTTGATTGTTGTATTGTTTCCGGTGTACAGTAATGAACCCATGTTTCGTCCCTAGTAACAAAATGATTCAAAAAATCATCTGCATCGGCTTCAAATAACTCCAAACAGTCGCGTGAAATAGTCAATCGCGTCCTTTTTTGTTCAACTGAAAGCAGTCGCGGAACCCACCTCGCAGACACCTTGTGGAAACCCAACTCGTTGACAATGATGTTTTGAGTTCGTTCATAAGAGATGCCTATAATCTCGGCTATCTCTCTAATTTTTAATCTGCGGTCTCCCATTATTAAATCAAGTACTTTTTTAATATTTTCGTCAGTAGTTGACGTCGAAGGCCTTCCAGAGCGGGGTTCATATTTCACACTCTCTCTACCACGCTTAAATTCTGCTATCCATTTTTTGACGGATGAATATGACAGAGCACAATCGCCTAATGTACTGACCATATCATCATGGATGGCTTTTGATGATAGCCCCTTCTTATGGAGGTACTTAATGACGGCACGCTGCTCGATTTGCTCCATTCGCGGAAATTATGTCCGATTACTTTGTTAATAAATTTATAAAATCACAACTAATTATCGCACACGTTTCGAACTTCACACAATGAACTAGTCTGAACTGAACTAAATAATGTGGGTAGATTTGATTTTTAGAATTGAATGGATCTGTGTTAGGCCGAGTACTTTTCAATCCACCTAGGTATATATTGAAAATTGTATTAATACAATACTCAAATAATAATTTTTTTTGAAAATTAACCTTTTTACTTAAATATTAACAACTGATCAGAAACTATTTAAACTTAGCTTAAAATGCTTGATATGTGTCGTTCGTGCATTACACTTAGCAACTGCTAATTATAGTCTGTGCCAAATCTATTGAGAAAAACGGAAAATGACCTCAGATATGAGCCGAGTGTCAAGAGGCGTTTCACAGATTGAATGATTGATGATGTGAACTTACAAAATCTCAATTTAGATGTGATAACAATATTTAAATATTGATATCACACTTCTAGGTGAGCACATATGTTTTTTTTTTGTTTCTTAAGTTATATTGTCAGTGGTTCCTATAAACATCGTTAAATCTTACGGTACATCGCGAAAAATGTGATATATTTTATATTTCAATTTATGATAAGTGGTGCAGCAATTCATTTAATAACAGTTTCGTATAAAAAAAAATTGAAGCATTATAATCACCATATTGAGATTTTGCCAATTCATCCCTTTAAAATAAACAAAACACATGTTACGTCAATTCGTTCTAAAAGAAACTTGAAAATGGCAGCCAGAGATGCGTTAATTTATTGGGCCGGTCTGCATGCACCGAATAAAAATAAAGTTTTATCTTTTGAATAAGTACGTATTTATTCGGTGTCGTTATCACTCGAATCTTTATATGTGTTATAAATTAATGCTTTTTGTTGTTAAATGAATAAAGTACTTTATAACAATAGCTGATTTTTCTTCTACAGCGATCTTTTACATTACTTTTTAATAATAGTTAATAAATATATATTATATCAATCAATATAAAAAATCATTATAAATAGAGAAAGTTCTACATATAAAATGTGCCTATATTTTGAAGGTTTGTAACCCCTGGTTAAACGACGGAAAGGTCGTTGTCCGTTTTTCTCGATCGATTTGGCACATACTATAGTGGAATCGAACCAACAGATGTTAACTACCGCAGACCATAGTCAGACTACTGTCGTTTTCAAAATTGGTTATAAATTATTTTTTAAAAAATTAAGCGAAAATCATTTGAGCGGACAAAAGAGAAAACCTACTAACTCCGTGCACATTTTATCCTAATTATCACTTTATTATATAATTAAATGGTTTAATACATTTTCTAAATATTTTTATAAACCGACTAAGTACAAAGTGAAATTGATTCCGTTGTGAGTTTCTGCTTTCCAAAACGTAATTATTACTCGTTCAGGCTACCTTCTTACTGCAAGTGACAAGTCTATATAATTCACCCTGTAGCAATTTCCGCTGTAATAATTATTTTAAGTAAACATAATGTGTATTTTTTAGAGATGTAGTAGGTAGCTGTGGTAGGTTTGAATTCAAATTGGACTCACTATTGTTTGTATGTAAATCTTCATCAGAGGGGAACATCAATCCTATAATAATTGAAGCCTATTTTTATGTAAAGGACACACGGTGTACCTTTACCATTGATCCTTGAAGACTAAAATTAAATGCCTCGCTACCAATAACAACGAACCGGTTCTAGGTATGAATGATATCGAAAGCTAGTATAATTACAGGTTGTGAGTTATTCCATCGGGGTCTTTTGGGAATACAAAGCATTTGTAGCCTTCATTGTTCTTCAATATATTAAAAAGGTTATGCTGCAGCTATTATATTCACCACAGTTTGGTTATATCAAGTGTACATTTTACATGATTCGCTTGCAAAAATCACTTACGTTATTTAACATTTATACATAATGTTAATTCATTTGAATAATTATTCCAATTAATTTAATTGGTATACAATTAAGAAATCGTGCCAAGATTAAGTAACTTTTTAATAATCTGAATTACTATAGACAACTGAATTTTTTTTATCATTGGGGGATGTGTATAAAGTAAGTTTCTCGAGTAGCAGTCTCGTATCAGTAAGCAAAGTTAAGGGTGGTCCAACATGAGATGAGAGTGACGACCTGGTGAGAGATGCAGAAAGTCGATGGACGCAGGTTGCTTAGTATCGTGCTTTGTGG